CCCTGCACCTGGAGGTGGTGGTGGAGCTGGAGCTGGAGGGTTTCAGGAGGAAATGGGGGAGAGAAGAGCCTTCCTGGCAGAGGCCCACGTCCGCAGGCCTGCAAGCCCAGCCGGGCGGGGGTCAGCGTGCTGCCTGCTGTCCGTCCGAGTCCGGGAGGGCCTGTCCGCGGTCAGCGCCGTGTCTCAGAGCCCTTCAGCGCAGGGACAGGAGAGCACAGCCCGGCCATGACATCAGCAACAGCCGGGCGGCAGCGCCTGGGGAGCAGCGCCCGTGCCAGGCCCTGCACAGCCCTTTGTGTGCCTGACCTCACCCTCTGGGGCAGCCCACCCAGGTCTCCGGCTGGTGCCCCGTGCACAGCGGGCACAGCGGGCTCGGGAGAGAGGCTGGGTGCCTGCTCCTAGGCCCGAGAGGGGGGCTGGGCGTGCTGTGTCGTCGGGGATGGCTTGTGGTCAGGCTGGGCTGAACCCTGAGCCTGTGGTCCACCCTGCAGCTTGTCAGTCCTGCTGTCAGTCTCCACCCAGGACCCAGGCTTCCTCTCCTCCTCGCCTGCTGGGCCCTGCACCCTGCAGACCCTCCTCAGGGCCCTCCCACTCAGGACTCGCTCCCCGCTCTGCTCCCGGCTGTCTGAATGCACCCCTGACACCGTGTCCGCCGGGAGCGTGTCTTCTCTGGAGGTGGAGTTCTCACGGCAGGAACCATTCTGCACACGGGGGACGCACTGTCAGTGGCGTCCAGGCCGGAGGGGTGCATGGGATCCAGGGAGCAAGGCCGGCCCCCTGTGAGGGGCTTGGGCTGGGTGCTGGGCAGGGGCTGCGTGTGCAGAGCAGGCTTGGAGGCTGATGGTGCTGAAGGTGGTGGGGGTCGGGCCCGAGGAGGCAGAGACCGTGCTGACGGTGTGACAGCAGACGTGGGGCGTGGAGGGCGAATATGAGGGAGGCAAGAGGAGGCAGGGTGGGCTCCGTGGGGTGCATACCCATGAGCACACACGTCCCAGGCTGGAGCCCACAGTGCCCACTTTCCATGAGTAGCAGGAAGGAGTGATTCCCAGGCTGTCCACTGCCTTGGGGGTGGGGCTCTGGAGCCCCAGGACCACTGCTCCAGGCTCCTGGCCAGCCACCAGCCTCAGGGCTTCCCTTGGCAGGACGCGTCCATCCCTGTGAGGAACAAGCCCACAGCCGGGTGCCTGCTGAGGGGCCAAGGGCAGAGGAGCACTAGGTGGGGGTCCGCAGTCCCCGCTTCGCCACCTGCTCGCTCTGTGACCTTGGCCGGTCTTTAGGCCTCTGCACCCCAGTTTCCTCATCTGCAGATGGGGTGAGTCACGCAGACCTGCCAGGCTGCCATGAGATGAGACGGACACACACATGGAGCTGTTCACATGGCGGCTCCAGGCAGTGCGGGGTGTCTTGTTAGTGGCGAGCAGCAGGTGTGTGGACACCCCTGGGCACAGATGGAGCGGGCCCTCCGTGGGAGGAGGAGGGGCCTTGCGTGCTGGAGGCCTAGGACATTAGGGCAGGGATGCCGGGTCCGTGGGTTCGGTGGGGAGGTTGGGGAGAGGTGGATGTCTTGGCCTGGACCTGGGCCTCCTGTCCAGAGCTGCTGGATGCAGGGCCTGGGTGCTGAGTCCCAGAGTCTTGCCAGAGGGAGAGCATCCTGGTTTCATGGTCACGACCTGGCAGACCTCTCCAGGGGAGAGGGAGGGAGGGAGGGGGGAAGGAGGGGCCCCTTTGTTCATCGAAGAGGGTGCATGCCCCTCCCCTGGTGAGCGGGAGCACCTCCACACCAATACAGGCACCTGTGCTGGTCTGGGAACATCTCAGGTGCCAGACAGATCACCTCTGTCCACCTCCCGGCCTGGCAGGGCCCTGGCAGTGTCTGCTGACTGAACGCCGTGTGGCCAGTGCTGGGTGTGTCTTTGGGAGCCAGAGATGCCCTTGACCTGATCACGTGGCCGAGGGACTAGGGGCTGGCCCCTCCTGGCCCCCCCCCTGCCCCGGCATCTGAGAAGACCCCCCTCCATCCCATGGCCTGGCCTCTCGGTCCTGACGGAGCTGAGCTGCCACATTCCTGTGCCCATCGCTCTCCCCACCCATGTCCTGCCCTCCCTCTGGAGCAGGTTGGGGCTGTTTGGGTGGCCTCGGTTGGCTCCCAGCCCCCACCTGGGAGTTGAAGGGTCCTAGCCGGTCTGGCCTGACTGAGGAGGCTGCGAGCAGTGGTTATGGGGCTCCAGAGCGCCCAGCGCCTGTGAGGCCGCAGCCCGTCTGCACGGATCCTGTGCTGTGGCCGGGGGAGCAGGAGGGCGCTGCCTGTCTCTGCTCTTCCTATGGCTGGGCTGGTCCCAGGGCGTGTGCACCCTCCCTGGCCTCTGCCCACAGTGCAGGCTAGCCCAGGCGGCCTCCAGGCACTCAGCCTGGCACTGGTGACGGCGCTGCCAGCAGATGACAGAACTCATGCCCCGTGTTCTCCCGCCCCCATCAGCCTCAGCCCACACGGGACTGGCTGCCGGGATGTGGCTGTGGGAGGAAGTCTGGTCCCTGTCTGTGTCTCAGGGGACCTAGTGCCCTTCCTCCTAGGGCCCCCCACCCCCACCCTGCGACGCAGGGCTGTGCTGGTCCCTGGGGTAGGGGCAGCTCTGGTGGGGCGAGGAGCAGCAGCAGGTGGCCTCCATGGCCACAGGGCTCCCTCGGGTGGGGGTGCAGAACCCTGTCCACGTCCTGGGGGAAGAGGCGCCGAGAGAGCTGCCTCAGGGTGGGGCCCATCGCCAAGCTGCAGCCTGGCCCCTGCCAGCACAGACCGAGGTGTGGGCTGGGGTCTCAGAGGGGTCAGGAGAGCCAGGCCTCTCTACCGCGTGTCCTTCCGGGAGGCTGCATGCCTGGAGCGCCCGGGCTCCGGAAGCTGCCCTGCACTCTGACTGAGGAACCTGTTTGCTTGTGGGGTGTGAGTGGGGCTGGCTGTGGGCGGATGGCGGTGTAGCCGGTTGTGTGCATTCAGCGAGCGCTAATTAGGCTGTGGTCTGTGCCAGGCTCAGGTGTGCGATGGGTACACAGTCGTGGCTTCTTGCTCACGGAGCTCCCATTTGGCCCAGCCCCCCAACAGGTGTTCAGGAGTCGGGTGTGGTGGAGGGAGGCAGGGCCTGCAGGCCCCAGGCTCGGGCAGCAGACAGCTGCCTGAAGGAAGGGGCGCTGTTGGGCTGAGACCTGAAGGTCAAGTTTGGGGTCATCGTGGCCCAGAGAAGGTGCTGGTGCCGTGAGCATCCCTTGCCCTGCCCAGCCACCTGCCCCTTAGGTGGTAGGGACAGTTCAGGAGTCGCCTCCAGTTGGTTCTTCGGAGGGTGGAGCCCTGCAAGTAAGAGTTGACGTTTCATACGATGAAGGGAGGGAGGGAGGGGACGGTGGACAGTGGCCAGCTACTCTGTCCACGTCCTAGGGGAAGAGGCGCCGAGAGAGCTGCCTGCCTGCCTGCCTGGGAGGGGGCTGTGGGGCAGAGCTGCACACCCCCTCCTTCCTCCGCCTCTGCCCCATGGCAGGAGCTGGGTGAGCCCTGGTGTCAGCCAGACCTGGGCCCAGATGTGGTTTGGAGCCCACACCCGTCGGCCTCCAGGGAGCTTGGGGGAAGGAGCCATCCCTTAGGGCACCCCAGCCTGGGCCGGGCAAGGATGGCCCTTGGGGGGGGGGGGCTGTGGGCATGTGTGTAGGTATGTGTGGCACCAGCAGACATCTGTCCCTTTTCCCCACCTCGTCTTGTCTGCCACCTTATCTCGAGTGTCGTGCTCGGAGGGGGAGGGGAGCAGGAAGCTGAGGTTTTGTGAGTCAGTCATGGCCCCTCACCGCCACCTCCAGCGCCACCTCCAGCGCCACCTCCAGTGCCAGCCAGAACCTCCTGTTGCCGACTTGGTGCTGCCTCAGGACCGGGAGGTGGTCTCCTGGGAGGGCGCTTTCTGACCTCAGGACCGGGCCCACCCTCACCTGTCGCCCGGCTCTCTGCTGCCCTGGGCAGTGGTGAAGCTGCACGAGCAGGGCAGGGCCTGTGGTCGAGTGTGGGAGGTGAAGGTGGGAGGCTTGTGTCTTTCCTGCTTCGCTCTGCCGGCCTGCGGGGCAGGAGCTGGAGGAAGAGCAGAGACTGTGTCCTTTCTCCCAGAGTCCCGAGTGGCCAGGTCCCCCAGCAGGGCCCGGTCATGCCTCCAGTTTGGTTCTGGGATGAGGAAGAGCCACAGGTGTGACCTTGACCTGGAGCAGTGCCTGGCCACAGAGTGGGGGAAGCAGACGAAGGGGGCATAGTGGGCCCTGGGGTTCCCAGGAGTGGAGGGGTCCCTGGGGAGCACCCTGGGAGTTAGGCTGGGAGGCAGCTTCCCTGGGGCACAAGCAGGGACGTGGGCCTCCTGCCCAGCCCTCCTCCCTGGCCCTGGGTGGCCGTGCACGGCGGCCTCCTGTGCACCCTCCGCACTCCTCTGGGGGTGCTGTGTCTCGGAGGCAGTGGGCACTGTGGTCTTTCCCTGCCACAGACACTGCGTGTGGGACCTCTGTGCCTCTCAGTGAGCCTCGGCTGACGGTGAGGCAGAGCCAGGGAGCCGGGCTGGGCTCTGGGCTGCGGGCGCCCACTGTCCTGGTGCCAGCTGTCAGGCCGGGGCGTCGTGAGGGCCTGGTGCCTAGGCTGGGGGTTGGCTGGGGGACAGTGTGGAAGGATTGCCCCCCGCTGGAGGGGGTGCGCTGTGCAGTCGGCTGCGTGCAGGCTGCAGTGGGTTCTGCGGTGCTGACACTGGGCCAGGCCTGGGAGTGGGAGCCAGAGAGGCCCGTCCCACAGCAGGGCTTCTCTCTGCCCTCTGGTGGCCCTGGGGTCTGTGGCTGCCTAGTGGCCTCTCTCAGGATTATTTTTAGGGAAATTATAGGTCTGGGAGCTGAGGCTAGCCTGGTGCCAGATGAGGACAGGGGGAGGGGGGCGGGGACACGTTTCTACCCTGGGCTTCGAGGCTCCTGCCTGGTGGGGGTGGTGGGGGTGGTGGCAGGTGCTCTGACCCCCTGCTCCTGTCCTCAGGGAGTGGGGAAGGCCAGGGCCAGATCCTGCAGCGCTTCCCGGAGAAGGACTGGGAGGATAACCCCTTCCCTCAGGGCATCGAGCTGGTGAGTGGGGTGCTGGCTGCTGGGGGGCCAGGCCCCCGCTAGGGACAAGGGGATGTCTGAGCTGCTTCGGAGGGTGGGGAGCAGGGGCACTGGCTTGGCTGGCAGGGTGCTCGGTGCCCACATCCTGTCATCCCTCCCTCTTCACTATGGGGACCATGTCCTGCATCACAGGGTCTTCACCCCACCTAGACTATTACTCCCTTTTGTGGGGGGCGGGCTAGGTCAGGAGGTGAGGTGCCCCCGGTGGCCCAGGGAGGTGCTATCTGCTGCTCTGGCACCTGGCATCCAGGCCCTGGCTGTGCGCATACTCCGTGGCAGCGGCAGAGGGAGCTGACCCCTGACCCTCCCTTCCACAGTTTTGCCAGCCCAGCGGGTGGCAGCTGTGTCCTGAGAGGAACCCACCGACCTTCTTTGTTGCTGTCCTCACTGACATCAACTCCGAGCGGCACTACTGTGCCTGCTTGACCTTCTGGGAGCCGGCAGAGCCCGCGCAGGTCAGCTTGGGGCTGTGCCCCTGCCCCTGCCCCTACCCCTGGGTGTGTCTCCCTGTCTGCGGTTGTCTTGGCACCTAACCCCATGGAGCCTGGAGTTTCCGGAAGAGTCACCCGTGTCCTGCTGGGTTCACGGGACCTGCCTGGGAGCCAGGCGAACAGGCTTCTGTCCACAGGAAGCCGTGTGCTCGGAGGACGCTGCCGGGAGGGAAGAGGAAGCCGGCGAGGGAGGCTCAGGGCGACTGTCACCTGGCACGCCCGGCCCACCTGGCCAGCTGTTCGCTCCAAAGACTCTGGTGTTGGTGTCTCGGTTGGACCATGTGGAGGTGTTCAGGGTGAGGCGGGCAGCCAGGCCCCGAGGCAGGGCGTGGGTCTCCCAGCGGCTGCTGCCATGCTCGTCTGTGGCTCTTTCAGAACAGCCTGGGTCTCATCTACACCATCCACGTGGAGGGCCTGAACGTGGGCCTGGAGACCGTGGTCGGGAACCTGCTCACCTGCATCATCCCCCTGGCTGGGGGCTCACAGGTGGGTCTTGAGGCAGCTGCTGGGCCCTCCTTGCGCCCGTGGCTGTGGGGGTGGGGCTGTAGGCACTCCAGAGTCTAGCCTGGGCGGAGCACGGCCCCAGGCCTTGGACACGCGTGTGTCTTGGTGCCACTGCCAGCTGCCATCCTTCCTTGGCCTGCCTGCTCGCCTGTGTGTCCGTGTCGCCTGGCTCTCTCTCTACCTGGCACCTGTCAGTGTTTCTGTCCTCTCGCTCCTTGGGTGTGCTGTCTCTGGATGCTCAGCCTCTGTCCGAGCCGCCATGTGCGAGTGTGTCTAACTGTGTCTCTCTGCCCGTCTGTCCTGTGCAGCTGGACTCTGTTGAGGACGGAGTGGTACGGACTCTTTGTTTCTTCTGCCCACCCAGGCCCGTCCCTGCCCCAGGTCAGAGGCCCCGAGCTCTCTCTGCAGCACTGCTCGGGCCAGCAGAGGCTGGTGTGGCCTTTCCCTCGGGCCTGCCACTGCCCCGGCCAGTCCCACCTCGGGCCCTGTCAGCCCTCCAGGCCTGCTGAGGCCACGGAGCTCTGGGCTGACTCGGGACTGGGCGGGGCCCCTGAGCACCACTCTCTCTCTTCCCACAGAGAACCATCTCTTTGGGGGCGGGTGACCGGCAGGTCATCCAGACCCCACTCACTGACTCCCTGCCCATCAGCCGCTGCAGCGTGGCCCTGCTCTTCCGCCAGCTAGGTGAGCCCGCCGCTCCAGGCCTCCCTTTCCTCCCCTGGCCGGGGTCAGAGGTTAAGGCTGTCACCCTGCGTGGGGTGGGGCGGGGCGGGGCCTGCCAGCCTGTCCTCTCCCTTCAGGCATCACCAACGTGCTGTCTTTGTTCTGTGCTGCCCTCACTGAGCACAAGGTGCTCTTCCTGTCCCGGAGCTACCAGCGCCTCTCAGAAGCCTGCCGGGGACTCCTGGCCCTGCTGTTCCCGCTCCGATACAGGTGCCTGCCCGGGCCCCAGCTGCCACCCAGCCCTCTGCCTGGCCCCTCTGCCCAGCCCCCTCCTTCCTGGCACCCACCTCACTGAGCCCGGCCTTTGCAGCTTCACCTACGTGCCCATCCTGCCGGCGCAGCTCCTGGAGGTGCTCAGCACGCCCACGCCCTTCATCATCGGCGTCAACGCAGCCTTCCAGGCAGAGACCCAGGAGCTGGTGAGGGCCACGCTGGTGTCCGCCCTGCGCTCCAGGCCCTGCTGGCTGGCCTGCGGGTCCCTGACCATGCACCGCCTTTGGTCCGCAGCTGGATGTGATTGTGGCTGACCTGGATGGAGGGACGGTGACTGTCCCCGAGTGTGTACACATTCCACCGCTGCCGGAGCCGCTGCAGAGCCAGACCCACAGCGTGCTGAGCATGGTGAGACCACGGGGAGGGCGGGCGGACAGGGCCTCAGCGCCTGGGCTGGTGCGCCTGACCGCGCTCCTCTCCGCTGCTTAGGTCCTGGACCCGGAGCTGGAGTTGGCAGATCTCGCCTTCCCACCCCCCACAATATCCTCTTCCTCCCTGAAGATGCAGGTGGGGTCATGCCTTCCTGTGCCCTCTCCGTAGGCCTGCCGCCAGCACAGCGCAGCCACCCCGGCCGCGGGGGAGGTGGGAGGGCAGGCGCTGAGCTCCGAGGGCCCTGGGCAGGAGTGGTGGTCAGTGCTGTCACAGGCATCCCTGCGCTCTGTGTGGAGGGGGCTGGAGGGAGAGGAGGGTCTGAGGCACCTGGGGAGGCTTGAGCAGGGCCCCCACAGGGTTTGGGTTCGAGGAGGTGGAGCCTGGAGTGGGTGGAGGGTGAGGGCTGCCTGTGCAGGGGCCGGGCACTCACCTGCACTCACCTGCGACCCAGGACAAGGAGCTGCGGGCTGTTTTTCTGCGGCTCTTTGCTCAGCTCCTGCAGGGCTACCGTTGGTGTCTGCACATGGTCCGCATCCACCCGGAGCCTGTCATCCGCTTCCACAAGGTGGGCATCAGGGTGGGCACAGCGGTCGGGCAGCAGTCAGTGCCTGCGGGCTGACCTCCTCGTGTACCCCAGGCAGCCTTCCTGGGCCAGCGTGGGCTGGTGGAGGACGACTTCCTGATGAAGGTGCTGGAGGGCATGGCCTTTGCGGGCTTCGTGTCGGAGCGCGGGGTCCCCTACCGTCCTACGGACCTGTTTGATGAGGTGTGCCCTGCCCCAGCTGGGAGGAACCCCCACCCCTCCCCGTCCTGGTCAGGGCCTGACGCTCTCTCTCCACAGCTGGTGGCCCATGAGGTGGCGCGGATGCGGGCGGACGAGAGCCACCCCCAGCGGGTCCTGCGTCACGTCAAGGAGCTGGCGGAGCAGCTCTACAAAAACGTAGGTGGGCGGCACGGGTGGGTGGCTCGGGAGGCCACTCTGCGGCCCCAGCCCTGGGAGCTCTGGGAGCCCTGGTCTGCCCGCCCACGCCTCCTGTGCCCCCCAGGAGAACCCGTACCCCGCCGTGGCTATGCACAAGGTGCAGAGGCCGGGGGAGGCCAGCCACCTGCGGCGGGCGCCCCGGCCCTTCCCCCGGCTGGACGAGGGCATGGTACAGTGGATCGTGGACCAGGCCACGGCCAAGATGCAGGGAGCACCCCCCGCTGTGAAGGCCGAGAGGAGGACCACCGTGCCCTCGGGGCCCCCTATGAGTGCGTAATCTGGGGGAGGCCCTGAGTCTGGCCCGGGTGGGTGTGAGGTCAGAGGTGAGTGCGTGCTCTGCTCCCCAGCCGCCATCCTGGAGCGGAGCAGCGGGCTCCATGGCAACAGTGCTCGCCGCCTGGAGGTGGTTCGAAACTGCATCTCATACGTGTTCGAGGGGAAGATGCTGGAGGCCAAGAAGGTGAGGGCGCTGGGCACGGGGGGCGCTGGGTGTGGGGGCTCTGGGCCCCAGCTGGGTCTCCTCACCTTCCATCAGTTGCGGGAGCTGGGCTGGCAGGAAGGGCAGTGGGTGCCAGGGCTCAGGTCCCTCCAACTCAGTGGGGTTCAGTGAGAGCCATTTCTTTCAATTTTCTCTTTTAAATTCATTGGAGGGACGTTGGTTAATGGCTCACATGTTTGATGGGCACTGTGACACGTGACCTGCATATTGCGGCGTGTGCCCACCACCCACATTCAGATCATCTTCCATCACCATAGACGGCCCCGTTGCCCTTTCCTGCGCCCCCACCCCCAAAGGTTTCTTCATCCTTCACAGAAAGTGTTGACCCACATGTTTTTTTAAAAAACGGATAGAGCCCTAGCCAGTTTGGCTCAGTGGATATAGCGTCAGCCTGGGGACCGGAGGGTCCCGGGTTCAATTCTAGTCAAGGGTACATGCCTGGGTTGCAGGCTTGATCCCCAGCAGGGGTCCTGCAGGCGGCAGCCAATCAGTGATTCTCTCTCATCATTGATGATTCTCTCTCTCTCTCTCTCTCTCTCTCTCTCTCTCTCTCTCTCTCCCTCTCTCCCTTCCTCTCTGAAATCAATAAAAATATATTTTAAAAAAATAAAAAATAAAAAACGGATAGAAAAGGGAACCCACTCACTGCTTTTGGTGGTGCTCACGACAGCTGGGGGTCGCGGGACAGCTGTCCGGGTTCCTCCTGCCACAGCGGCGGGGCCCGGGGGCGGCAGTTCTAGTCGTTGCCCAGTGAGCAGCAGGCTTGTGCTTGGGAGGAGGCCCGGTGAGCTCGCTGAGCGCTGTGCTGTGCTGTGCTCAGGGCCCGTCTGCGCCCTGGCTGATGCGCGTGCAGCCTGCATCCTCCTGCCTCTGCCTCCGCGCGCTGTCGCGTGTGGAGCCCTGAAGTCCCAGCGCCTGGCACACCTGAGGGCCCTGTGTTTACAGCTTGGGCGCCCGCCCTCCAGGGCACAGTGGGTGGTCCCTGTGTAGTCAGTCACGTGCCCTCAGCCTCTGTGCTCCATCCCCAGCTGCTCCCCGCTGTGCTGAGGCCCTGAAGGGGCGTGCGGCCCGCCGCTGCCTGCCCAGGAGCTGCACCTGCATGTGCAGCAGACCGCGCGTCTGGACCACAGCAGTTCGACTTTGTCGTCCGCATGATGAACTGCTGCTGCAG